CTCCACACCAACGGCGGCACAGTGGTCAGTTCCCTCGCGGTTTTCCCTCGACGGTTTCGCCAACCTTCTTGCACGAACCGTGAAGTTCTCCATGTCTATGGTACACCGAAGCCTTTTCAGGATATCGGCCCCCAAAATAAGGCCCTTTGACAGCGGTTCTGCGACCGCAAACCAGTGTCCAACTGAAACGCCATCCAGTTGCACCCTCAAATGAACGGTTCCGATGGCACGGATCTCCGCGCCGTTCGCTCCGCATAATCGGCCATGGAAAGAAGTGATTTCAGGGTTGTCCACGGCTTGCAGCATGGAGCTGTTGATCAAAGACTTGGTTGCTCCTGTATCTACTAGACCCTTGACTCTATATCTTTCCACGTGTATGTCAACGCAAAACATTTTATCAGACGGCACACAAACGGCAGGGACAACTAACTCACTCGAATTGGTGTCGTCCGGATGTTCATCTTCCCGCGACGTTCCGTTTACCTCTTGTCTATAGTTCGGTTCCGATCTTTCACCGGTATTAGGCCAGCGTCTCCATCCACCGCCGTCTCGGGTATAAGGATGCCCGGCCACTGGTTGACGATACGGCCTCGATGCCCATGGGTTTGTCCGCTGGGGTGGCTGCTGTTGGGAAATGGCCCAACATTGCGCATCCGGTTTTTGAACGGCCCGCTGGAGCTTCTCTGTCACCCGCGCCAGTGACACGGTCTCAGTAAGGCTTTCTTGGGGTTTCGTACTCAGCCTCTTCTTCAAGGAAGGGTTGGCTGCTCCTTCGACAAAACGTTCCATTGCCTGGCGCTCCTGCCCCTCGCTGGTGTCCAACGGAAGCGCTTTCGCCACCAGCTGCATCACGCGACACTCGTACGCTTCGGTGGTCTCGCCCATCTCCTGGCGCACCGTGTGGAACTGCGTCTGATATTCGACAGGATGTAGCGGCGTGTCCAGCAGCTCACGTAATTGGGCGAGTGTGGCTTCCAGGTCATCGCCATCGAAGACGTCGGCCTGGAATGCGAAATCTGCAGCGTCTCTGGTCAGCAAACCCAGCAGGGCAACACTTTGCTCTTCCTTTGGGAACCTCCGGATGTAAGCACGGGCTTGGAGTTCCTATCGTGGGTAGTTGCAGCCTGCGGTGAACTTCTCTGGTGGGGGCAACGGCGGAGTAAAAATCAGATTGAGCGCATTGCTGGCGAGTATCATTTTACAATATTATCAACCACATCCTCGGAGTTGCTGGATCAGGGACAGGGCAATTTGCTGTCCTTCAGCTCCCGCGCAGTCGGCTTGGGGACCTTCCATCCTGCCCGCGACGCCATTTTGTAACGCGGAATCAGAAGATGAGTTCGCTGGACAATATCAATTCGTGACACACTAAAAAAGTGATCAATACAGATAACATGCACAATACAAATTTAAAGTCATGTAAGTTTCGCGAG